TGTGTGTGTGTGTGTGTGTGTGTGTGTGTGTGTTTATTTTTATGGTTTAAAGCAGAGACTGGGTGTTTGAGTTTGCCATTGGCTCCAGGTAGAAATCAATGGGTTGACAGTGCACTACTATTGGTTTGTGTGTGTGTGTGTGTGTTGCCCTGCTCTCTAGGTATATGTGTTAGTCTTTCTGTCATATTTGCAGTTTATGCTTTTCTTTTGGGGTGGGGGGAAACAAAACAGGAGGGGAAATTGAGGCAGGGCAGAGCAGGAAGAGGAAGAAGCTGATCTGTGCACAGCATGAAGATGAAGAGGCCAACTGTGGAGGCAACAGATATACAAGTAATATGTTCACAAGGAGAGAGAGAGAGAAAGACAAAGAAAGGCAGTTAGACATGGATCATACTGAAAAGAACATGAGAGACAGACACAAAGAAAAAACTGACTCAAGGCAACGTCAGAAGCAGTGTCTGGGCTGAGAGGAGGTCAGACATGGAGAGACTGGAGCCCAGTGTTTGATGGCCACAGGCTATAGTGACCCATTAACTTGTAAAGCTCCCACATTGGAAGCTGCTGGTCATGCACACACACACGCATTACAGTGTTCATTTTGGTACCTGTACTTGATTTAAGTTTAGTTTAAGGTCAGTTTTGATTTTTGTTAGTTTTAAACATCAAAACTTAATACAGTCTAGTTACTGGTATTATTATCTATCATATTTAATAATTATATGTTCTAAACATTTAGAGGCTGAAAATTGTGAAACATTTTGCTATAAGGTGAGTCTATTAACATACTAAACGTGATCACAAACATTTTGAGATATATAGTAATTATTTTAATATAATAATATTAAGCTTTGTTTACAAAGGAAAACATTTGGATTGTGTTGTTTTACTTGTAACAAAAACAAATAAACTGGAGCATTTAGTTTGTAGTTTTGTGCTCTTTTGAACCTTATTCCCCAGGAGGCACTTCATTTTAGTCAGAGTCAGAGCTGGTGGATCCATTTGGTGTTTCTTGTGCTGTATCCTCATTTTACCATTAACGCTTTATCATTATTATTTAGGATTGTGGTTTTAGATCTGTGACTGTGCTTCCTTTTCACCATAACATAGTTATGTCCTATCAAGTGTCATTACATGCTCAATATTTTTGGCTGCAGGACTGTGTGGGCCATAAAGGCATTCCACGCACACACACACACACACACACACACACACGCATACAAATGCGCTCACAAGCAGCATTTTTCCATAGCAAGACATTCTAGTGCTCTGGAGAAACAGTTGCCAGGGTGGCACTCACTCAGTCCCTTTTTTCACATTCACACCTTGTGTTGTTAGACAGGCAAAAATGTAGGTAAAACTGTGCGCTGTGTTGTTGATAGCATGTTGTCTCTGGAAATCAGATCTGGTCATTTAGCTCTAGTGTGTGTGTATGTATGTGCTTTATAAAATACTTACAGTCTTTATAAAAATTATATATACTACAATAAAATAAGGCATTACTCTGCAAGTAATGAGAAGACACAGCAACAACAAGACCGACTGAGGGCATGAAGGAAGGTGTTTATATTGTTATCATTACATTATTAACACTAAATATGTAAATAACAGCATATGTGTAAGGTTTGCAACAGCATAACACTGAAACCGAATGAAGAATGTCTAGTACACTTACTCAGTTTGCTATTGTGGGAAGAGACTGTTTGTACACAGACATATACACACACACACACACACAAAGCCTCTGTGTTGGTCTTTGCCTGGTAAGATGCCATTGGTCGAAGCAAGCTCAGTGGGCAGCGCTGGCCCACAGACAGCAGTGAGTACACTGAGCAAGTGGTGGGTGGACTGAAGGTCAGACAGGCTCCTGGACACACTGGTATTGTTCTTTCTATCCTGTCTTGCCTACCGTCCACATGTCGATTTGTCCTTGGGCAAGACACTGAACCGCCCCTTTGCCCGTGATGGTGGCACATATGCACGCAGCCCAGGGCTCTCGGCTCCAAACATAATTTTGTTGTACGTGTTACAATGTTACAGTGACAATAAATAAAGCTTCTTCTTTTCTCTCTTTTTTCCTCATTCCCTGACCTGTGACTTTAAGAGCAAAATGTCCATGCGTGTGTCAGTGTAAACCAAAGTACTTCAGCTGAATGTGCCACAGAATATGTTTAATTGGGGAATTGGTATTGGTGTTTAGGGTATTGTGTTTCTGTGTGTGTGTATGCATGTGTGTTGGACTCTGGCATGTTATTAGTCTGAGTCAGCACAGAGGAGGCCCGGCCAGCTCTCTGAGAAGTGTGGCTCTGTTGAATGTAGGAGTGGGAGGAGATGAGCTAAAGGACTTCTGTGACAGTCAGAGTTACACGATGTCTTCCCCTCAGCTGTTACACACCAGATTCCCCAAACCTCTGACTGTACTCTTTGATCCTGGAAGATGAACAGTTTAAACTCACCAAAACCTGTTCACTGGAAGACACAGCTTGAAATTCTGATGAAATGCATCGCCTCATTGAGTGTGACGTTGTAAAACAAGACATTCCTAGTTAAATTGCATCCAACTCCCTGACCTTTGTTTGTTGTTCTTTCTGTCTCTCCCACCTCTCCTTGTAAAGGGCAACACTCATAATCATAGGCAAAACCACTTTGTGTTAGCAGAGCTGTTATTTTCCCACAGAGACAGCGATAGTGCCAACCGCAGAACCGGAGCAGAGGGAGGTTGCTGAAAATTTCCCTGGAGATGCTGCACTCAGTGTTCAAATTATTTGAACCTTGACCTAGTTTGTAGTAGGCCTTTTCAAGTGCTTCCTCTCAGAACGTAATATTTTTGTATGAATGTGTCAACACAGATGCAAGAGGGGAACTCATTTTATGTGCCCCAGTTTCCAGAACTGCATTAATTAGTGTTGGAAATGAACTCTGCATCACATTACAAACTTCAGCGAGCTTGAGGCCGTCCAGAAAATACATGATCCTGCCTGCTTTGCATTGTAACATCAGATAACATTAATGCTCTGTGGTTAATTTAAAGCCTACTCAAGTTATGTTTACAAGATATATAAAATAATGGTGTAAGACTGTTTGGCATCTCTAAATGCCAGAGGTATATTGTATTTTCTCACCTTTGCCTTTTTTAAAACTGAGCGCAGTGCAGAAAGCTTCATAGAAAGCTGGAGCATGCAGCTGGAGATTTGCAGGTCAAAAGATATCTGGACTAAAAATAAACTCTTATTTACAGATTTGTTGTTAATAATGTAATGATATCTACATAAACACCTTCATCCTCTCAGTCAGTCTTGTCTTTGGTGTGTGAGTAACAGATTTTTAAACATCTAGGTTTCACACCATCTTATAAACAACATTTACATGAATATCTTTTAATATGTAGCACATCCTAACTATAAAGTATAGTTATTGATCTACTCAAACAGTGACTGTAATTAACATTGACTTTTAATTTTCAACTGTTTAACCCAGTTTAAAACTAGACATTCAGACACCTTTTCACCTGCAAATTAGACCTGAACAAAGCAGCTGATATTAACTAATTGCAGATGCTGGTAACCTATTGTGTTGGTGTCAGTGTTATGTTGGCTAACATGTAACAAGGAATTACAATGCAGAAATGCCGAACTGCAAACTGTCTGTTAAAGCAGAAACAGAATGGTGAAAGAATGTAAACCCTACTAACTTGAGGGTTTGTTCTCTCTCATCCCAGATGGTCATTTCACCGGGACCCCTCCCACATACGGTTACGATGCAGACCGTGCAGAGGAGCAGCGGAGGCACCATGAGATCCTGCCTTACATCGATGATTCACCGTCGTCTTCACCGCACCTCAGCTCCAAGAGTCGCAGCAGTCGGGACACCCTCTCCTCGGGATCAATGGAGTCCTCCAAATCGGTCAGTATGGCCCCAGCTTCTCATTTATGTAGCTGGAGAGGACAAAAATACAGAGACCCCTCTGAATATAATGTAGTCCAGCACAACATCACCTTTAATTATGACCTCAATAATAAATATATCATAAAATTTATACATTTATGACAGTTTCACCAAAAACGGAAACATTTTGAGCTTCATAAACACAGATGTTAAAAAGGAAGTGTTGCACTGAATTGCATACAACTGTATTTAATGGCCAGTACTGTGAAAGTGAAGAAAATGGGCTGATCAATCCTGCTCTGTCAAAAGCAGTTGGTGAGAAATAAAAACTGCCATTTGAGAGGACTGATAAAGAACAATGTCACCTGCCTTATAACTCTAGAGGCAGTCATCTGGTGAAGAGACTCCCCTTTAAAGAATCTCCCTCTTTCTCATCCAGGGTATTAGGCAGAATTACCTATCGCCTCCATCACACCATCATTGCCTTCATCCTCTTACCTCCCTCCTTCACTTTATGTTGTCCGCAGAGAGAAAATCAGTGATCTGTGATGTCTGGTGCTTTTCAAAGCTTACCGTGAAAAGGATACACACATGCGTGTTTACACACAGTCTCCAGAGTCAGCAAAAGATGAAAATGAATATAGATGACAAAGTCAGAATTTATTTTAAGATGTATCTATTTATGTATTCTATTTATTATTTACTTTTGTTTTATTTAGTATCTATATTTTAATGTATCATTTCTATTACTTCTTCTGATTGTTATCACCTTTTGGTCATTATCATTTGCACCAATGAATTTATAGGCAGTAAATGAGCACACTAAAGCCATATGTTTGATTAGGATAGAGAGGTATCATCGGAGATATTATGAGCTAACACTGCCTCTCACTTCACTGTGCCCTTGAAGAAAGTAATTGCATCAGTGGTCATGAAGCAGTATTCGTTGCTCCACCCATTCAGTCTTTGCTCCTGTCAGTCTGATTGGTGGCTTCAATCTGACAATAAAGGATGAGACCCTTGACTATATCCAACCTTTGAACCTTTGACCCATGAGCTCGGGACTCTTGCTGATTTTAATTTATACACATGCACATACACACTCAAGTTTCTGCACAGCTTTGCACTAACCAGTGCCTTCTCTTGTGTGCAAAAGTACATACATGCATCCTTTTCCCCGTCAAAACAAAATGATTTGTTGTATAAGAGATTAACAAGGATTTGCTAAGTAAATGTTTAGAGTCAGAAACCTTGAGCAGACCTGTCTATGTGTGTTTAGGGTAGGCAGAAGCACCATCACTTAAATATATTATGCAGCTATACAGCAATTATCCTTCAACCAGTTCTCTAAGCAGCCACACAGGCTCAAGAAAATGGAGTTGCCACTGTCCTTGACTTGCCCTTGGATAGTCCCACTGCAAGCATCATCCCAGTCTATTTGAACTGATGAGTCAGAGGCCACATGGGCTCTGATTGGCTTTGGCTTTATGACGCCACTGTGATGAGTCATCAACTTCAGCAATACTGCTGATTGAAATTTCTCTCATAATCTGACTCTTCCTTTTACTGCAAAGGAGAATGAGGGGACCTCACTGACTTGAAGTCAGCTACCCTGGTGTATGATGATTGTGATGTGATATTTATTTGGCATTTTTTCCAAAAGCATTGACCATATCTTTTACAAACAGTGTTTTATCTTTTAAGCCTAGTGTTCATTATGAGACCTACTTTTACAGTGGGTCAATCAAGGACAGCCAGAGCCACTCTATTTTCCCCGAGTTAACAACAGACTGTCTTTTTTAAGAGCTTTTAAGCCTTTACTAGATGGCTGACAGCAAGAAATGAAGGAGAGAGAGATGGAGAATGACAAAGGTCATTGGACAGATCCGAACCTCGGATGTTGCAGTTCATTGTCTGTACCTGAAACCTTATAGGCCACTGAAGCACTCTTGGAATATTTCTTATTTTGTGACTCATTTTTATCTTTCTTTTCCTGCTCAGTCAGCCCTAACCCTTTAAACGACCAACTTTTGTGGATTCTTAGGGCTGGAAAGGTTAAAATTTGTCTTGTTATAATCTATCTCATCTGTAATGAACCTTACACAGCTTGTTTTCCTGCAAGTAAAGTCATGGCATCATGCAACATTGCAAGCATCCTATCAAGAATTCCCTTGCAGACAACAACTTTGTCATTGTCCATCACCTCTGAAGTGCAGTTTAAAAAAACTGAAGTATTCCTGCATTTACAAAAAACAACAACTTGTCTTTCTCCTGCAGCAGCTCCATTAAATAGGAGATACAGTATGCTAAGATAGGATGCAATCTCATTAGACATGTCAGAATACAAGGGATGGCAGAACAGGATCTTAAAAAGATTAGAATGTGAAAAATGAAAATTTAAGAGTTAATAAGGTGTGGAAGAGAGTATGCATTGACACTCACCTTTCTGCTCTCCAGCCTGGCTTGTTTATATGAACTGACAGTCTCCTACACTCCATGAGAAAGAGAGAGATGGAGAATAATGTTATTACAGTCTCCACTGCTCAGTTTCTATCTGGGCCTCCTGAGCTACATCAGAGTGCTTGTCAAATAAACACTGTTTGTATTGATTCTTGTGTATCTCCTGCAAACATTATCCATGCATAAACAAATCAGAAGCAAATCAGAATTCCTAAATCACATTAGGTTCAGTAGAGCCACTGCTAAGGGGTGTTGTGGGGGCTGAAAGGGTTTAAGTGTGAAATATTAGCTGTTGTTGATTCTACTGGATGTGAAAACAGAGATGCACAAACCTAAATATGCCCCATGCAGGGAGAATGTATTGTATTTTTACTATCTTGATTACCAAAAAAAAAACAAAAAAAACAAGACACTTTTTTATTTTGAACCCAGAGATGGGTTCATTAGTTGCCACGGCAATGAATAAAAGATATGTCTGAAGATGTGGGTACATCCTAGGGAGTCATCAGGGGTCTGAAATAATGAACAAACACTTTATGGCTCCTGTTTCCCCTCCATTTGTTCAGTAACATGTGGCTGGATGTTGAAGTTTGCTTTGAATGTTCTTGATGCTTCTATTTGTCTCTCATATTCTTTTTACCAGTGGGCATATTCTGTGATGGTAAAGTCACAAAGCTCATGCCAATACTTGTGGCACAGCAAGGATTTTCATTCATTTTCCATTAATTCACAAATATTTAGGGGCTCCATTGCTGCCCCAGGCTTTCTCTTTTAAGTCAGTGGAGACAGATTCAGGGCTGCTGTAATGTAATGTAATACATATAAGAGTAGTCATAAATCATAGTTATGTTACTTATTTACTTCCATTTCCCTTTTATTTGCACTCAGTGTTTGCAAAGGGGAAACCTTTCTGCATTTAGTTGTCATGGACTCTATACATAATGAACAGTTATGCCCTATGTGTTTCTGGCTAAGTGCACATCTTTAAATCTTGGTTACACCTGTATTATACTGCAGTTCACTGTATTATATTATTTATACTGTACAACCTGGTCAGACCAGCACAGAGCTGACTTTATAAGGGATTAATGGTTATTTATTGTAAATATAACTGTAACACACAGTACTGGGTAAACTTTGAATGGTATTTTGTCTGCAGTACATTCAGTCAAGTTGCTAAATGAATTCTAAATTTATGGTGTGCAGGATGTGTGTGTTCCTTTTAAATTGTTTTGTGGCTTACAAACTAACAGGTAATTTGGTACTTCAGTAACTGTGCTGTAACAAAGGCTATAATAATCCTGGACCATTTCATAATCTTCTGGGCTATAACAATCTTATGAGGTTCATGCCAACAGTGGCCATGGAAACAGGTTTGAGGTCCATTTACCCCTTCATCTAAATAAATGCATGTACACCCACAGACATTCAAATACAGCTCACATGAATACGTAACGAATGCAATAATATTAACATGCATATTTGTACATGATTAAATTTAGCGGTGTAGATAAGTAGTGAGTGGGTTGATGCACAAAATCATACAGATACATTTTTAAAAGTGCAGATTTAATCATTGCTTAATTGTTTAAATCGTTTATTTAACAAAAATGCCATTAGCTGAGCCCAGAATCCCAAATGTTAAGGATGTACTACTTTTCATTTATGATGTTGTAAATCAAAACTCTTTGGTTTTGCAGTTAAAGGATACCATAGGTCTTTTTCAAGTTTATGTTAAAACAACACCTACATGCCTACATATGTACACCAAAACAGTTAGTGACTGCAGTATTTGTTCTTCCGGTCAATACTGGCTGTGGCGATTAGAATGGGAGAGATGTAGGACTAAATCTCCTGGCCCTCCTTTGGTGCAGACATGCATTCCCATCCAAGAGAAATACCACAGCTGATAGGAGGTTTCAGGTGATGATATGATAGCATTGAAAGTATTGAAAAAAGCAGTAATTTTTTTCAGATTAATTGTTCAGTGGTGTAGTTTGTAAAATGTCAGAAAAAGCAGAAAATAGACAATCACAGTTTTCCAGTGGCAAAGGTGATGTCTTCAAATCACTTGCTTAAAACATTAAAATTAAAAATTTGAAACAAAGCAAAATATTCACCAAAAAACAGGAAAATACACATATTGTAATGATTTCAATCAGACTTCCTGTTTTAGGCTTTTATTTTGGTACGCTTTCTCTGCTTCTCACCACTCTCTTGATCCACCTTCACCTCAACTAACAGTCTGTGTATTTAAGCCAGCCGTTCACGCTCTGTAGTTGCCTGTTTGTCATCACACACAAGAAAATGTTCTTTTCCACCCTCACATTTATGGATTATTGTTTCATCTATTACCTCTAGACTTTGCTTGACTGTTGCGTTCTGTGGTCACTGTTCAAGAGCTATTAGAGTATACTTACCTTTGGACTCTGGATTTCATTTGTGGTTTTTTTTTTGCCACTGGGTTATGCCAAGAATTGCTAAGTTAGATTTATTGTTGATCCTCCTGTGGTAGTTTACTGTGAGTGTTTGCTGTTAGCTAATTCTTGCCCAGTAGATTTTATTCTGTCTCTCATTGGTTTCTTCTGTATTTCTGTCCAGTATACAGACCTCTAGACCAGATTCTGTTCGTGTTTGTGCAAATTCTTCAGGTTTATGTTTACCATGTCACATTTAAGAAGTTGCTATGAAATCCTGTTTGTCTTAAAGCTTTTTTTTGGCTTGTTTAGTTTGTAAAAAAAACTAAAACTTTTGACTTTTTATGCCAAACTTAACCTCAAGCTTTGGATATGTGCTTTTACTTGCCTACCTTGCAACAAGCTTTTTATTACAGTTATAGGAAAAACGTCTTCTCTCTTTACTTCCCTGGATGTGTCTTCTTTCTCTCTCCATCTCTTCTTTTCTTCTTCTTTTTTGTCATCCTCACTCACCCTTCCTCCCTGTTGTCTCTGTCTTTCCTCCTCCTCCTAGCCAGATGGACTGGATTGCTTCTTTGTACCAGCCTGAGCTGTGTGCGTGTGTGCGTGTGTGTGTGTGTGTGCACTTGGCACCTGCACATTCTCTCACACACATAGTCAGCCTTGCTCCCATGGGAGACCCTGCCTGTTTGAGTTATTTCAGAGTTCGTGGTTAAACAAGACAGCCCGAGGAATCTGTCTGTCTTTCTGTTTTCTTTCATGTCCCTACTCTTCAGTGAGCTTTGACTGGGCTGAGGGGGATGTGGATGCAACCAGGGAGGGTTACTAGAAGGTGCAGTTATTGCTGTTTGATCTATTAGTATATGCTATAGCACTCACAAACAACAAACTTGCAGGAGTTTCAAGTTCAGCTAAGAACGAGGAACCCTTTAACTTAAGCTTTTCAAACAAGTCATATTAGAGGTGTTTTTACCAGATGATATCAGGACTAATATGATGTTTTGAGTGTTCTTCATTCCTCAGACGAGAGAATCCAATTGTGTGAAAACAGTTCAAACGTGTACAGGATTTGAGTTTGTGTGTATAATACTGCATTGCTGGATATTGTTGTAACTTAATTACTGTATGTCTGTGTGTTTCTTACAGACTGAATGTGATCTGGAAAAAGGTTTGGAGATGAGGAAGTGGGTCCTGTCTGGGATTTTGGCCACTGAGGAAACATACCTCAGTCATTTGGAGGCACTGCTGCTGGTGAGAATACAGACATATATTTCATATTTTCATACAGTATAGTGAAGTAGAATTGTATTAGGTATGTGCCAACTGATAAGGAAATTTAAATATTGGACACAATTTTGTGTCTGTGTGTTTGCCAAGTATGGATGCAGTTGTTTCATAGACCATTTATTTGCTTTTATTTAGTGTCACTAGGTGATATGATTATATATAGTCTAATGTGAACTGATATAAATGTGTAAGATTTTTTTCACAAGCGACTTTAACATAAAGTAAGACTGTAAAATGTTTGGCCTCAAATGGAAATTAAAGCTTAATGCCACATTAAATTTCATTTCACTTCATATAAATTTATTGAGTCTGCTGCTTTAAAGAAGCTCTTATCATTATCTTTATACTAACAAATTATTAAATGTTTATCTGTAATGTTACAGCAACAAACGCACAGAGACTTTCCTCAGCTCTATGGAGCATATTAACATCTTTTATCTAACTGTTTGGGTTTCATGGTATGCAGCGTTCCTGTCTTGGTTCACTCTCACTGCACTCATCAAGTTTATTTCCAGCAGCAACAGGCAGCTATTTTTGGTGAAAAAAGATAAAACGTGTCAGCTTAGCACCAAACTGTCGACAGACAGTTAGCAACTAGCTGCTGAACACAGAGGGAAATTTAACAAATAAAGAGAGTGAATATTGGACTTGCAGTCATCAAATGGCCAGAAACACAAACCAAAACATGAGCACTCAGAGAGCACATGTATCTCCGCCAAGGCACAACATTTGATAATGCAAATGGATCCCTTGTGAAAAATAAAATCCAGAACAGCACAAAATGCTTCCTAAAATCCTTGATCCGGATTGGATCTGGATCATCTTTTAGAGTATGATAGACAATTATACTGTGCATCTTACCTGAACATTTCAGGGTTCTATCTTCATTATAGGCCAAATTATGACAGAAAGTATGCATTAAATGGGCTTTTCATTGTTAATTTTAAATGGCTGTCAGACTCTAAATCCAGATCAGATCCAGATGAAATTTGGTCTGGTGATAGACATTGCCACTCTACATATGTCTGTGAAATTTGATTTCATTTTCAAAAATAATTTCAATAACATTTGACAGAGACATGATTTTCTTTTCAATTTTGCCCATTTTAAAGATGGGAGATTTTTGGTGTTTTTTTTTTTTTTTGGTCATTATTTTTGTGACCTTGACCTTTGACCTTTTTCAGCCAAAATCTAATCACGTCTGTGTTTGGTCCCTACCAATCTCTGTACCAATTATGCTGATGATCCATCCAGCAAAGAAACACACACATACAACCAAAAACCTAACCTCCTTGTTGCTTTGTTTGTCTACTAAATATGAGTGCAGGTAACACCACAGGAACTTCATTATAATGAAAAGCATGTCTGAGACCACGTGAACAAGATGCAGATGTAGCCTTGCAAATACAGGATTTATACTATAATACAAAGGATTCGCATGCCATAAAATGTACCTTTAGGCTATGTGAAGCATGTAGGTAGTTTAAATCAGCAAATAGCTCCTATTTGGCAGCTGATGTTTTGTTATTGTTAGTCAGATATAATCAAGAGTACCCGGGCTTGCTTTACAGATATGGATCAGATTTTTGTGGCTGTGTTGAGTTCATACAAAGACTCAGTGAAAAGTACATTTTACACCTGTAATCTCCATTGTTTGTTCCACTCAGCCCATGAAGCCTCTAAAGGCTGCAGCTACCACATCGCAGCCTGTGCTCTCCGTGGCCCAGATAGAAACCATCTTCTTCAAAGTGCCTGAGCTCTATGAGATCCACAAAGAGTTCTACGATGGACTTTTGCCCCGTGTCCATCAGTGGAGTCACCACCAGAGAGTCGGGGACCTCTTCCAGAAACTGGTAAGGAAAAACAAAGAGAGAAGTGAAGAGGCTGGAGTATGTGTGTTCCTTATGACAGAAGAAACATTTCTTAAATGGCAAATGCTTCCCTTAAAGTGTCAACACTGAACACATGAAAAGTGGACAGTACTAGAAAATACATTCAGACTACTACATCTACAATTTCTGACCTGTGGAAGCAGCCCAAAGCGAACCCACTGTGCTACAATGACATTATTCACAATGATGTTATTTCTGGAAAAGGGAGGCCTTCAGAGAAAGAATTTGTCAGCATAATTCAATAAACCAATAAAAAAAAGTAGATTTGATTTTTGTAGTAATCCTTTTTTATCATTTTAAATTTAGAGAAAGACTGAGTCGTCCTTTTCTTCCTATTTCCTCCTCAGCAGCCACATGCTTTCTCTTTGTCCCCCAGTAATTTCTGCCAAAGATGTCTGCGCCAAATGTTCACTGGGTCTATATTATCATTTTCACAATGGGTCAATTAACCCACAATGCATCATTTGTTAATTCTCTATGAAATACCTCTCCTGTCCAAATACGTAGTGTTTCTTTCTCTCTCTCTCCCCTTCATTTATGCTCAAACACTCATCTACACACATACACACACACACACAGAGGGAGGTGCAGGCGTTTGACAATGCTGCCTTTCTGCCTCAAGCAGCTGAGGCCATCACTGCACTGTGCGCTTTGTGTCTCGAAGAAGCTTCTATAAATAGGAGCCTCTCTCTTTTGCTTCTCACTCTCTTCCACTCACTCACATGCTCCCTCTCCCTCTCTTATTACCTTAATTCAGGAGGACCCTCTTGCAGTTAGGCTAAGAAATTTTAACTTAATTTGTATTTTTTTATTGTAAAGGAGGCGCATGTCAAAGTCCATTGTTTAATTAATTAATTAATTGTTTAGCAGCCTGTCTATATATTTTTTTCTAGCTGAAAACTGTTTCTCGGTCACATTAGACTTCTATCTAATGAAACTGCTCCACTCTCATATATTATATTTTGTGGCATTCATGTGGACAGCAAAGTAAGAATTTCATTGTACAGGAAAACACATTTCCTAACTGTACATATGACAAATAAACATTTTAAACTCTCAGCTTTAAAAAAGGATGTGATGTCATGGGGCTGATGTGGTTTATAAATAAATATTGAACAGGGTGATTGTAAACTGTGATAGGATAAAGCTGCTAGAATTTAAAGAGCAAAGTTGAATAAAGGTGAGTTCTGACCTGAAAATCCATTGACACACCCAAAAAGACGGCATTGAAACAGGAAAAGCATTTTTTTTTTTGCATAAACTGTGCTGGTGTGACAGTACTTTTAATCATTTTCTTTGTCTGGCCTCAACCATTGTGTCAGCCTGATGCTTCACACCCAGTATTTACACTTTTTTTAATCAACCTTGACAATCTGGAGAACGCCTGTCTTTGCCACTCTTTCTGCCGAATGCATACACTAATATATGTTTTTGTACATACACACTAATGCATACACGCACACATGTACACGCTCATAACATTTACATTTACATCCCATTCCCTCCTTCCAGACAGTAGTTAAAAGAAGCCAGGTAAAGAAAGCACTGAGCTTGCAAAACAAAACAAAAAAAACTATGCTACGTACACGACAGCCAGAGATTAGATGAGATAATAGATGATACGTACAGGAATGGGTGAGGAAAGGTTCAGAAAGGATGAGAGTCAATTGGGTCGGCAAGTAGACGTAGGCTGCTGCAGCTACAGTATAACAGAGCTGTCTGACTGTGGCTTTGAAATCTGTGAGGGAAGCAAATGGGCTAAGGGATCACAAAACATCAGAAAAGGGAAGGTAAGAGACGAGAGAAAAGCGGAAGAGGTACAGTGTCAATGTCAGAGAGATTGTGGCATGCAGCCTTGAAGGCTGAAAATAAGGCTAAATCACACTTTGTGTTTCTGCTCCTCCTAAACACACATGAAGCGTGTGACGCACTTCATCCAGCTTCTTTGTGTTAAGGTTTTACACAATGAGGATAGACAGGCAAACTGAGACTGGCTTTGACTGCTGCTCTTCAGAGATCTACTGTAGGACCAAAAAAAAGCTTGATTCAGTGAATTTACAGAAGAAAACCCCCTCTGACCTTTAATTTGTCCTCACTCAGCCAACCTACAAGTTGTTCCACACTTTGTTGAAGAATTTATCAGTGAACACATATGTACCCTGTGCGCAGCTTGCTCTTGAACATCCTTTGCATAAAAAAGATGAAAACGAGCCGAGTATGCAGTGTTCCAGAACGGTCACTGAGATTTCTTCAGGCGTTGGACTTTTTCTTTCACTGACAGTTGCTCTGTTATGCTTAAGTATCAGGTTTGTCAAATATCATGGTAATTCTGTAACAAAATTAGTTTCTGAGTAAATCTTTGTTGGGATACACCATGCAGATGCCATGTATTGGATCTACAACACCTGGTTTAAGTTGCTTGCAACATTTAAGACTTCTTTAAATCTCAGTTAATTCTTTGCAGGCAAACATTTCATAATCAAGAGATCTGAATTCCAGCAACATTTGCAGTAAAAAAGACAACACATTTCAACCTGTGGCTGTTGGCAAAATTAGTTTAAGACATACCACAAAGGAGATTTACCTTTACATGCATTCATAATAGCAACCAAATGTGTGAGAATGAGTAATCCTTTACTGCATTTTATAATTAAAAGTGCTTATTGTTTTTTTAGCTATACTATCTTAGCCAGGTGACCTTTCTTCTAGTGCCACTGAGTAAAATGACTTAACAACTCCTATATTTGATTTGATACATTTAATTTGGCCCCGGTTATTCATGTCCCATATCTATGAACTTGCTGTTGTAGCCCTCTTGTGTTTAGTGCTAATTAGCAAATGCTAACAGACTAAACTAATATGGTGAACACTGTAAACATTACCTACTAAACATTAGCATGTTAGTATTGTCAATATGAGCACATTAGCACTGAGCTCAAAGCACAACTGTAAGCTGTACAGCCTTATACACCAGCTAGCATGCCTCTAGACTTTGTCTTGCATTACTTACAAATGAAGGTTCTAACCTTTCTAATTTGGTTTGATTGAATTGTACAGTAAAGAGTGATTCTTTCCTCCATAAGAACGTCCTTGTAAGTAGCCTAATTCAGGCGTTTTGTGTAATGTCTATAGCATCAGTTATGAGGCTGTTTTCTTAATGTTGTTTTCCGCTGTGTATTACACACATGCTCTCACACAGGACAAATCCCAAACTGAGAAATCCAAACACCCAAGCAGTTTATTTCATCACCCAAAGCCATTTTCTGCTATGATATGGTGGCCGCAGCCGTTAACTCAGTAAGCCTTCACAGCTTTCTGTGTGGTTTTGTGGATGCGGCTGGCAAACATTCGGGCTCTCTGTTCTCTCCACAGACAAACTGTCACGCTCTGAATGGCCTCTGCTGTGGTGCAGATTGTGTGGCCCAGGGCAGGACACAGGGTAGTAGGATTGTGAAATTTGTTTCACTCAGTTGCCTTATTCCACTTTCTTCCTGGTATTTGCAGAACACAATGTAGAAAAATGAGCTCAGTTATATGGGCTTAGAGATGTGTAATATTCCATTGCTAGTCATACATTGATGATGATAATAATCATGATATTTACTTGTAGGATCCTTTTCAAAGACCAAGACAAGGCAACAAAGAGTGAGAGTGAGTGAGTGAGTGAGATCTATGGAAAACTAAAAAAAAGACTGCTAGTAGACCAATTGATCAGTTGACTGAAAAACTGAGGCAATATTTGGCATTTCTAGATAATTGGCATTGGCCACTGTCTGCACCAATGCTTATTATTTGAAAATGTTCAGCAAATGTGTGTCTCAATTGTTATTGTTATATTTTATCTGATGTAAAAACTGGCAAAAACCACAAAATTTATATCAGCATACTACTGTATACCAGCCACTGGCCTTCCCACTCCAAATATCTGCATCGCCCACTGGAAAACTCATATCAGACAAAAACTGTAAAAGACATAGCAATGGACTATAAAAAAATTAAAAAATACAATAAGAAAATAAAACCCATGCAGAAAAACAATACAACTGAAAAAAAATCATTTCATATTCTCTGATAACAGTACATTTATCAGACAAGATTTAAATGACGATGCTGATTCTGAAACCCTGGTTACCCTTTAAGCTATTGTAGTCATTCACATTGTGCACCTTTTTCTTTCCAATGACCCACTATATTCACTTGTCCCACTGGACTTGTGTTGTAGTGCTGTCACCATATTCCCAGATCCCACTAATGAGCACAGTGTTATTACAGATACAAAGAATGGCCAGTCCTATGAAAATAAGACTCGATCAACCTTAATTACTATTTAAGCCTGGTCTTTGAAAATGACAACAAACCTCTGGCAAAATACCTGAAGCTTCACACTGGGTCACATGGGACTACAAAATCTGAAGTATGGCAACAAGCTAGGTCATAACAAACCTTTAAAGATAACGATTCATGTTCAGTGCACTCAGGTAGGCGTTTCTGAGGTATTTGCTATTCTTTATACAGGTGTGTGTGAGGCTCTCAGTGTTACACACAAAGCCTGTCTCCACTGTATTCTCTCCTTTGGCTTTTGTTCAAGAGAATTGATTGTGCTTTTGTTCATCATTGAGATGCATCCTAGTGCTGGCAGGCAGTGGTTGGTGGAGTTTTATTCAGCCATCCAGCTTCTTAAATGTGCTTTTCTAACCTCCATTACACTACTCATTAATTACTCACCCCTAGCACAGTGCAGGGCTCGCTGATTACTATGGCAACAGGCCCACAGTGTGGTAACACGCTGTTGTTGTGGCCATGATCCGTGTCTTTTGTTTGCTTGATGTTTCATTTCATAGTCTGCAGGGCAATGCTTGCATTTCTTTAATGGGATGTTTTCATTAGTTTGTTGCTTGTTTGTCAACAAAACACTTGACAAACTGTGCACCTTTTGAGGCTTCATGTATTTTTAGAAAACCAGTGTAGTGTGATGTTTAGAGCAGCACCTAGGTTGCTGTAAGTGTGCGTTTATGTATGCATATATATATATATATATGTGTGTTTATACCTTTTTTGTTGCCTTAGCTGTTTTTACAATGAACTGTTCTGTCTAAGAAATAAAGAGGATGTTGTTTGCCAACTATTTATTTCTCTTATAAATTATAACCATGACTAAAATAAATATAGTGATAGACAAGTTTTTAATCTCTGTATTCACTTTTTATTTGGACACCAAGCAAGCACAGTAAAACTTTTTAATGCTTCTGCACTGTTGTATACTCTTCTACCTTTACTGTACAGCTATTCTCTTTTTTACATGCACATTGAGAGCTGTTATACCGGAGTCAAACTCCTCATGTGTCCAATACACCTGGCCAATAAAGCTGATTTTGATGCTGCTATTTCTTGCTCTTGCTTTCCATCAGGCCAGCCAGCTAGGTGTTTATCGAGCGTTTGTGGATAACTATGAGTTGGCTGTGGAAACGGCAGAGAAGTGCTGTCAGGCTAACACGCAGTTTGCTGAAATCTCTGAGGTAAGAAAAAATGGGAAAACAACAAATACCAATGTCAAGCTTGCAACATAAGTATGTGTTTTTACTGTAAATGTGGGGAGAGGAATTGGAAAACTGTGAATAATTACCAGTTTAGTTTCTATCTCAAAGCTTCTTATCACTGTGCAAATTAGTCAATCAGACAGTTAACCCCATGCATAACAGCAAATTATCCAAATAGGTTTCACATGTATTTTCAGCAGAATTCTTTCTTTCTTTTTTCAAACATATGGCAGTTTCTGATACATCATCAGTTTTCATCTATGTTTTAAGAGGTCTACCAGTTGGTGTTGAGGCTGGTGTCTACATGCAGGAAGGGGAATTCATCATCGATGGTTGTTAATGGCCTAAGTAATGATGCATGACTCTGAGCAACATCGGGGTGGGGTGGGGGGAGGGCTGCTCTGGATGGCATAATTAATTTGGAAGGGGGGGGGGGAGGGCTGCTCTGGATGGCATAATTAATTTGGAAGTGGGTGACCTCAGAGCTATAAAGATAATAACCTTGCCGTGTTTTTACATCACTTAACCACAGTGAACTATTTTATTTTTCCTTTTGGAAATGATTTTCCCTTTCACATTTTGAAGCTGCTTTTTGTCTCCAAACAGAACCTGAAGGTGAGGAGCCCCAAGGACTGTAAGGACCAGACGGCCAAGAACTCTCTAGAGGGTCAGTTACCCCTTTTACTTAATTCTGTTAAAATATTATATAAAATAAAATGTTTATCTATAAAATGTTGAAGTAATTTATTCATGTAAATATTTCAGTTAGATTCCTCTTCTTTCCAATCCACAGCTTTACTATATAAACCAGTGGACAGAGTGACACGTAGCACATTGGTGCTTCATGTAAGTAAGAGTGAGCGCTGACACAGCAACGCTCCTTAATAAGGCCACTCCACAGCTGTGTTCTGTTGTGTTTGAGTCTTTGTCACATATATTATGAAAGAAGTGGACTTGAATGACCAGTAGAAATATGCTCTGTGCTGTAACTTTTTCATTGCATGTCTGTGTGCCTACATGTATTTGTATATGCATAATTTTAGCTGGATCTTTCAGCATTTGGTAGTAAATATGTATGGTTCTAATGCTGTACCACAGGACTTGCTCAAACACACACCCACCAGCCACCCAGACTACCCGCTTCTGCAGGACGCATTACGTATCTCCCAGAATTTCCTGTCCAGCATTAATGAGGAGACGACATCCCGACGCCAATCTGTGACTGTGAAGAAGGGAGAGGTAAGTGCTCAGAGATTTACAAAACAAGGCACTGACTGCTCAGACCAAAGTGAGCCACACTATGTAGCCAGTTCTTGTACCTTATCCACTTATTCAGCTTTAAACATGAGAGGCAGCATGGTACTGTACAGTATATGACTGGGCTCTAGTGCTGCAAATATACTGACCTACAATAAAAGTAGTTCTAGGTTGCTGAAAAACCTGACTGCATAGTTGAATGTCAAAGGAAATGTGTGCGCTGTTTTGAGTAATGGATGGTTAGAGCATTTTGTTGAATGTTGTGCAGCATCTTGAAAACTATTTGTTTGTTTCCGTGGACACGGAGCTCTAGGCTAATATCCATACTGCACATACTACATAAAAACATATCACATTACATCACAATATCTGAACGAACCCTTTAATGAATTTTATCTTGCTGTTTTCTGTATTTCCAACCTTAAAAATATGCTTTGAACCCATCACCGGTAATACTGCTCTATAAAAGCAGTATTCTTCTACTTCTCTACAGACAGGTAGCAATAAAGGTGTAAATAATAGGCATTTTTTCATCCCACATCTAATGTACTTTTGTTGAGAATGATGATGTCATGACCCCACCCTCCAAATTACCTTGAAGTCACTGCCAAACAAGCAAATGGCTGTACAGGGGCCACCAATCTGCAGCCTAAAGCAGAGTCCATGCCCTTATATGGTCATACAAGGGTTGTTTAGTTGAGGGTGTTTCTCTGTGTCTCTCTTGTGGCTTCCACATCTCTCATCTCCACTAACACAAACACACACACACACCAGCCACCCCCCATTGTCTCCCCGTCCCCAGAGATAACTCGATGCACATGAATGGATGCCTCTTGATTGATAGCTTGTGTGACACTACTGTACGTAATGCCTTGTAATGAGCCAGCAAGTTAATTATTCATAAATAGAGGGCAGGAACAAGCAAGCAAAAAGGCTTTGTCGGCTCCTCCCTTTGCTCAAAGGAGGGTCATTACTGCACTCATTTCACAAACACACACACACACACACACACTCAAATACACACTTTCCTACTCTTTGTTCCATCCACTCTGTCTCATTTTTGTATTTGAACATACACCCACCCACACACACCCCACCTATCCCCACAGGCCCCAGTTCCATCCCAGTCTGGCCAGACCTCCACTCCAGTCATCAAATATTAATGATGGATACATGCAAGCAGCACATGGAAATCAATGGTGCTCATTATATCATGCCTTACCACAAACAGGTTTTCCCCATCTGAGCTGCAACCATGTCAGCACACATTCACCTGCTCTGTTGAAGTCTGATGGCTGTATACTTCACCATCAATACAGCTTTTATAACTTTTTCTGTGCCTTTAGGTGTTCAAAGATAAACTTGGTCCTCAGGGGTGCTTATGGTTTAACTTTGTGAAAATGTTGCCTTCGTAATCCTTTGTTTATGTGATGTAAAATTTCAATACAAATTAGACTGCAGAATTTGTGTGGGCACAGTTACATTTATTTCATTTCTACACAGCCAGCCTAGTGGCTGATAGTGACACTATCATTATATACAAGTGTTGAGTGATTGTTTGGCTGCACACAGGGGTCACAGTAACTATTGAAACAACCAGAAAGTTTAAAATAACACTAAATAAAACCTCTTTTGGCAGCTAAACATTGTCATGGTCTTGAATTTCCATTGTCACAATTAACACTAATGATTGCAGTGTATGGGGAACATGTTTACAACATGGCAGAGAAGTTTAAATTTAAGTTCTCTGATTGCAGTGTATGGGGAACATGTTTAAATTTAAGTTCTGTGCAATCATTGTCTCATCTTTTTCTGTTATTCATTTGTTATGACAGTGATGAGAAGAGGCAAAAACAATCAGATAGCATAAGAACAAGGCTGCAGTGTTCGTTTATGATCTGACCTGAAATCTAGGGGATTGGGGGAAAGCTCATTCTTATTCTTCATGTGTACACACTAGTGAGTAACCTGTGGTTTGTTCACTGGAGGCATGCAGGAGCAGAGCAGCACAAATGTCCCCAGAGGGCCTGGTCTGGCCAGACGAGGGGAGGGGGTGGGCAAATGGAAGCTGTTTAATTAAATGCAAATGATGGCACTCCCTAAATCTCAGTTAACCTCATTGCTCTGCTTTATTTACCTTTGGGAAGGATATCCTCCTTTTGTGAGCGTGTGTGTGATTCAAGTAGAGGTGCACACACTCATCTACACCACTTTCATCTGTCTGTCTGTTCTTCTTTTATTCTGTCATCACACAAACATATCCACCTATGCAACAAGAAAACACAGAGCCACAGAGATGACCCTATAAGTGTGTATTCTAAATATACATACAGTATTTTGTGCATTCATGCCATTTCTCACGCACATGCCCTCAGCGAGGCTCCTGCAGAAGAGTCAATATTTAATTTGCATCTTGTGCTGTCAGCGCGCTTCGCCTCACATTGCTCTGCATTCACTGATGCTGGTGATGTTCTGGTCAGCTATTATAAAAAACAGAGACAGTCACATTTCTCCGACTGGCTGTTTTATATTATGAATATGTCATCTGATGCGCTGAGACAGCTGGTTTGTTAAGGGTGTCTTTTCCCTAGTATCAGGGCAAAGCAGCAGCATAAGCACATTTTAAATTCATCCGAATGCTGATAACAGGAATATTGTGTGTCTGCATCCAAAGGTAACACAAACAACAAAGTGCATTTACAGTAAATGAATCCAGCAAGTGTGTCAAACCATTGATTTAAATAAATAAACTCATAAGAAAGTCACTTTCGGCTTTTCCCGTTTAGGGGCCGCCACAGCAAATCGTCACACTGACAACTCACATGTTGACATGTGTTTTACACCAGATGCCCTTCCTGACGCAACCCTGACTCAAACCTGGGCTGCAGCGGCGAGAGTGCTGCGTCTTAATCACTAGCCTACCAGGGACAGCTACAAATAAATGAACTCAAAACAGAAACAAATATTAATAATGTCTTAATTCTGATTCAGTCATGTCCAAATCTCTGCTAAGGATTTTTGATAACAGACTTAAATGTGCAGGTTAAACAGGTGCTGTTGTGGCAGGCAGATGTTGTGACCTGTCTCACTTTAGCCTTGTACAGTATTCCCATTCCCACCCTTGCAGTTAGATGCCTGTAAATCCCTAATCTATCTGTTATCCCTCCTTTTATCTTATCTCTTTATCATAAGATCAGTGGAAGAGAGGATTACCACTGAGGTTTGATGGGCAGTGTAGTTTCTCAGTGGGTAATTTCAAGTCGAGTTCTGCCTGAACATGTAGATAAATCAGCTCCTGTATAACACAAAGTAACTTCATCTGCTTTATCACTATCTTGTTGACCCTTATTTTAATCTGCACGAGTCAGCATCAGTAGTTCATCAGTTAAAGTGCTTTCTGTATAGTAATGCAGCCAGCTGTACTTACTGTTCAATAACCCGATCAATATTCTAGTCCAGTCTAAGAATTTGCTGCCAACTCAACTTTACTGTCACATGAGACTTTAGCTTGTTGAGTCATAATTTTGCTTCCAAATTCAAGATTTAAGATAAATTGTGATATACAGAGAGAATGAAATTCTTACTTTACTGTCATTTCTGATTACTATTCATGGATAAAATAAAAAGAAACAAGTAACTCAAGACTACATAAAGGGAGTGCTGAAAGGTGCACTATATGTCTCCTTGACCTCTGACTACACTGTGCATCACAGCTAGGTGTGGTCTGTTGTAATTGTGACTGCACCCAACTATGGTCCCATAGCGGCACACTGCATCACTGCTGTGTGGAAAAAGTATGCTCTCACCCATAGCTGGCAGGGCAGGCCAGATTATCGAACAGGGTGCAGTTACTCTTTGAAGAGTTAAAAAAAAGAAAATGAGAAGAGGAGAGCAGAAACAGAGTAAGTATACAAATATAAAAATACATGTCTCAGTTGGCTTTTAATGAAATATCTCAGCCATCAATATTTTATATCCAGAAACATACATTTGATAATCCCCTGACTCTGCAGCACCAGCAGGTCTAGGTTTTCACTTACCCAGTGAAATATCTCTACATACAAATTTCAAATTTTCCAGTATTGTTTTGGTTTATGACATGCAACACTAAATGAGTCAGTTATGCTCTGTTCAGTGAAAGTAATCAAATGTTCACATTATGACCATTTTAGCATGTTGATGTTAGCATTTAGCTCAAAGGTCTGCTGTGCTTAAGGATCTAATTACAGAGCTGCTAGCATGACTGTAGAGTCCTAATCTTTGTTCTGTATTTATGCTTTTATGTATTACTTTTGAAAGCTGAATCACTTTATATTTAATTCATTGGTACTGGCTCATTCGAAGCCATGTCAGCTCAACCCTGATTGATGGTTTGTACTACTGGTGCAGTGGGACTTTAAATATGGACAGCTTCACAGTATAGCTTAAGCTCTAGTTTTCCTTATTTCAACAATGTAATGTTCTATTTGAGTAATATACCAGAACTAAGAGCAGCAGTGTGACTGATGACTCAGTCTAACTACTGGACAGTATGTTTCCTAAATTTGGACTGACATGACAGCATGATTGACAGAAATAAAGCAAGATGAAGGCTTCATATATATACATATACAGTATTCCAGATAGAAAACATTCTCAGGGGATTACATGACATATGGAATGACTTCATAGGTGGCATCAAAGTCCCAAAACCCAAAAATGGAAACAGAATGATGACTGTGTACAGTGACTAACCACACACTCACTACAATGAGCAGTTTGTCCTATCTCAGTCTGTGATTCAACAAAAACCGAATCAGGAAATTAAAGCAGGACATTTCAGGTGAAGGAGATTATTGTAACATGTCTGTCAGTTTTCTTATGTAAAGTTTCTTGTTGTGTGCACACTGACAGGTACATCATCACAAAACCCACTAGAGACCATGACACAAAGCAGCTCATCTGGAGGTTATCTATCACATCATCACAGGCTTCATTATCTAGCTAGTAATGAATAATTTCCCCCCAGGGGGAATTCAACTTATTAGATTCATATTGTGGGGATCAAACCGTGATGGGAATTTGCTCTAGGTTGTTCGTATGTGCGTATGTATGTGTGTAACCTTAAGAAAGGTCACCACAGTGGAGCGCCTTTAGTGATCTTTCACAAGGTTTGGTAGCTACTGTAAGAAAACTGTTTGTTCAGGTCAGGTTTTAGCAAACACATTAGCATCTGTAGCACCTCAGTGTATTGTGGTTGTGACAATGACCTTGTGTTCGTGATGGAGGGGTGCAGCCATGATGGTGAGGGTGGCATCAAAGTGGAGATAAGGATGTCCTTTATGTCTGCATACTGGTAATGTTAGATCCCATTAGGTGTATAAGTGCATAAAACCAGGTTCAGACAAAGTCAAGCGCTTAAAAAACAAATTTTTAGATTTTTCTTAAATACAATTTATAATTTGTGCAATGCAAAGAATGAAAGTAAGGGCACCGGGAAACTTCTTTTGTGTTTATAAGGTTCCCACCAGCTATTGCATTAACTTTTTGCAGTTAGCCCCTCCTGCCTTATCATTTATACTTTATACCGCACAAAGACCATTTACTATTGAGTTATGGTAGGATGTGTCTACTCCCTGATATTTGTTTTGTGCCCATTCTTGTTGTAAATGTCTTTTCTTCTTTGGAACATAACATCACTGCCCCCTTTTGACAAAAGGCAACATTACACATCTCATTACATAGTCTGACATCAGTGATAAATCCCAGGGCTCCAAAAAATGCTTTCCTTGTCTTCTAATACTGTAGCTCATTGGTTCCTGTCTGTAACCTGGAAATCAGTGATAATACACATCACAGAATATGACAAAATAATTTATCAGCTAATCGTTTTAATCAGTGCAATTTAATGCAAAACCCTCCACAGTTTGGGGGTAATGATTTGGTTATTTTTCAGTGACCACGATGATGAGACAAGCAGACATTTCTGATGCTGGAGCAGAGTTTAAAACTAAACTCCACTTTCCCTCAGCCTCCATCCTCCACTTGGTGTTTGCTTTGTCTCCTTTATGTTTCTTGCTGCTAGAAGTGGATCTGGAATTTGACAGGAGAAGAGGAGAGATAGAGCTTTTGCAGCCCCAACACAAAGGCTCTGCAAACAACAGATTTGCTAGTGTGGCACTCGGAACTGGCCTCGTCACTGATGCTAGACCACGTCCATCAATCTATGCTGCCCATCTTATACAGACTACTAGCACACTGAGAAGAACTTGAACTCATTAGTTTGAGTTTGATTGTTAAATACAGTTTCAATGCTTATTTCAGCCGCTACCAGTTTAGTGCCAGCTGTTTAACTATGGGCACCATAAGCTTTGAAATACTGACCCCTACACTGTTTGTATTTGCTATAGAACCGGCAGCTGCTTAAGGACAGTTTCATGGTGGAGTTGGTGGAGGGAGCCCGGAAGTTGCGGCATGTCTTCCTCTTCAGTGATCTGCTGCTCTGTGCCAAACTGAAGAAGCAGCTTGGAGGGTAAGAAATGTGACTGTTTTTGTATCTTATCCTCACACAGCTTAGAGTTACAGCAACAAAATACATACAGTAGTTTACCACCACTGCAAGTAACCATGGGTTCTGCTGCTCAAAGCTCATTTTACTGGTCTTGTATCAGGTTCCCAACCACAATGTAAATGAGCATTTAAAAGATAAATCTCAGTATATCAGTGTATTCAGAGATTTTCAGACTGTGAGGCGCTCCTGTGTTGAGCATTGTGAGAGTTGAAAGAGAGCTGCAGAGGAGGAGATGTGAGGCATATTACTGCATGAGGGTAATGGGACCTAGTGTATGTCGGTGCTCACAGTAGTTTACCACCACTGCAAGTAACAGTGAAAGCAACAAGAAGTTGTAGTTTAACCAATTAATCAACATAGTCAGCAGCAGCAATAGTGTCACCCAGCTCATAAAGGCAAGTAAGATCATTGCCACAAGTAGCATAAAAAAACTCAATACCCCAAAACATTTTAAAATGTCAGAAAAGGAGCAGCCTTAATAGCACTGGAATGAGTCATCACCAGAGATTTGATATCTACGAGAGAATGTTGCCATAGATTTCATAATATAATCAAAATATTGCAATTTGCTAAATGGTTTTTCTCCTCTATTCACTTTCTCTTTTCCCAATCAATTCACCCTCATCTTTTACCCATCTTCATTGATCAACTTCTCCTTTCAAACCTCCTTGACATCCTTCTTTTTTAATCACTCTCCATCCCCTCTCATTTTCCTCTCCTCTTCCGGCTGCAGTAAAAACCAACAATACGATAGTAAGTGGTACATCCCCCTGTCCGAGCTGACCTTTCAGAGCCCCGAGGAGGCTGAGCCACTTACCATCCCCCAGGTCCCCGATGAAGAGCTAGATGCCATGAAGGTCAAGATCTCGCACCTCCGGAGTGAGATTCAGAGAGAGAAGGTACTGTTAATATTTTACCAAATCTGTCCAGGAAGAGAAAAAAAATAGCTTTCTGATAGAATTTTGAAAGTGTCTTGAACAGCTTATTAAACTTACTGAGTTTTTTTCTCCAACCAATGTAAAAGGAATGAGGAAAAGTTTCCCACACAAATATATGCACGCAGTTAAATGCTTTCACCTCTGTGATTTCAGAGAGCCAACAAGGGCTCAAAAGTCATCGACCGCCTCAGGAAGAAGCTGTCTGAACAGGAGTCTCTGCTCCTGCTAATGTCCCCGAGCATGCCCCTCAGAGTGTACAACAAGAATGGAAAGGTGATGTTGCTCTCCATCTTTAACTGTCTCTTGATTCTCTTTTATTTTTCTCTTTTTTCCTCCTGCTGCTCCCAGCATGCTCCTCTTCTCCATATTTCATCTGGTGTTCTCATTTTACTGCTTCATTCCCAGCACAATATCCGCTCACTGATCTTTCCCAAGGTTAATTCGTCTTGACCTGTCTCATATTCAGTATGGATCTGTTAAAGCTGGCTGGCCAAGAACACATGACTTCAGAGTTTATATTTTTTGAGTTTATATATTTACACAGATGATATCAAGCATATCCTTTTAATTTTTCTTTCTTGTTCCCCCCAGATTAATCAGTGATGAACTAATAGACATTTTTGTGTGTTTGTGTTTCAGAGTTACAGTTTTCTGATTTCATCTGACTATGAACGTGCAGAGTGGAAAGAGATAATCAAAGAACAGCAGAAGAAATGTAAGCGTCACTGAAGTGTCTTGTTAATCTATGTCCAATTCAAAGCAGAAGGTGTTTTTATTTGTGAAAAAAGATTTGGATTTTTTCATTTGGAAAACATCCTAGGCACTTCAAAATGTACTATCAATCTAACTAGTAATCCAAAAGTTCCTTGTAATCGAGAAACAGAAACCAATATTTTTGGCCTCAGGAAAACACACGGTGTCAGTAAGACACATAATCTTTGTGATATACTCACAGTTTAAGTTCATTGTCTTCCCTCAAGGTTTTAAAACTTCTTCCTTGACTTCTATGGAGCTGCAGATGTTGACCAACTCATGTGTCAAACTGCAAACTGTCCACCACATTCCACTTAGTATCAACAAAGAGGGTAGGTTACTCATTTTTGTATTTGAAATGTGTTTTTAACAATCAAATGTTGTTGTTTTTTTATTCATGCAGTCTTTTTCATTCCTCTTTGTCTTAAGCCACAAATGATCTTAAGTGTTTTCAGATGATGAGGATGCAGTGTAGCATTATGAGACATTTGGGACTTTACGTATACATGTGTGGTTATAGTATCTTCATGCTTCATGCTTTTTCTGTATCCATGCCTTGCACAACAGCTCGGTTGTGAACCATGAAATGCTAAAAACAAAAAAGCTTTGGAAAGAAATGATTGTGGGTAAGATGAGGATGAAAAGTACGCAAAGATATAAGCCACATGTTTTGTACTCTAGAGTGTTGTTTTATCCTTTCCTTCTATGTCTGCTCCAAAACAAACATAGATCTGCATGCTTTTCTAATTCCTCCTTGCTGTATTTCTTTTTCTCTGCTCACCGACTGTTTTTCCAGAGGATGAATCCCTCGGTCTCTATGGGTTCCTGAATGTAATCGTGCACTCCGCCTCCGGCCTCAAACAGAGTTTGAGTGAGTCATTCACCTTTAGCCTTCAGGCAAACAACAGAGAATACAGATAATCAGACTAAATGAGTTCCTGAGAAAGTTCAACTTCAGTGTGACCACAGAACAGTGGAAGATAATGTTTGACTCTTTTAATGCTTCCATTGGAATTTACTTTTATTTAAGGTCACGCATCCAAGTTTCAGAACTGTATATGAATAACTGGTTATTTGCAGGAATTTAGATTATTTTATTATGTCTGTCATAAGCTGGTGGTTTGGTGTATTTACTGTTAATGGAATGAAGTTTTAGATATGTTTGAAACATTCTGGCCAACTGAACATTTTCTGATTAGCATTCAGGGGATAAGCTCAAACATTCAGCCAGTTCAGCTGCTGATGTTCCGCATTCACAAAGAACACTTCAGCAGCTGTGCTAATGTGATATCTTTTCAATCCTCTCCTCTTTGTCAGATCTCTACTGCACATTGGAGGTGGATTCCTTTGGCTTCTTCTCAAATAAAGCCAAGACGAGAGTGTATCGATACACCACTGAACCCAAATGGAATGAGGTAAGACACATAAGCACATCTCTACATACTGTATTCCCAAGTGAAATAAAATGTCTCTGCAGAGTGTGTATTAACAGAGGAGTCAGTTTATATTCAGTGTCTGTTGTACGTTGTAAAGCTGTTTGATTTGCACACAGTTGTTCACAATAATATTTTAGCATGATGTTCAACATTTGTAAAATGTATCACTGTGTTTCTCTACTTCTGACAAAGACATACTGTACATAAACATATCTTTTTGGTACAGTCTATGCTTCCTGTCATGCATTTGACATCTGGTGCTGTAATCAGTTAAGTGTCCATCTCTGACCATTGGAAAGATGTCTAAAGGAACCAAGAGCATCTGCCCCTGCAAATACTGTATATAGAAAGCTCACAAATGCATACTGCATATCCATGCATGCACAAAAGCATGCACTAATGAGACAGCTTGATGCCAGAGGTTAGCACTACTGTGGAAAAAGAGCTTTGAGACACAAACACTGGATGGGTTCATCTACAGTGTAACTATTTCCATCATGAACCTAAACAATCTTTGAGGATTTTGCTCAGAAGAGTGGAAATAATATCATCTAATGAGGAGCTGCTGGTGATGACTCACACATGTCTAAATGCTAAGTGAACCAACACAGTGTGGCCCTCGCAACGATGTGCAAACCATATGTAGACTGCTCCCTTACATAATTACAGGGAAGGTTGGTCAGCCATGCCTTGTGGTGGGATGTACAGGGTAGATAAAAATATAGGAAGGATGCTGATTTATGTTGGAGGTGTAACACCTGTTTCTCATTATCGTTGTTGTAATTCCTGTCTCTATGCTTTTCATTGTACTACAGGATGTTTTCACACACACCTTTATTTTTGAAAGGTAATCTTCCTACCACTTTTTTCTTCCCCTTAGGAGTTTGAGATTGAGCTGGAGGGCTCTCAGACCCTGAGGCTGCTTTGCTATGAGAAGTGCTACAACAAGACCAAGCAGAACAAAGAGGATGGAGAGAGCACAGACCGCATCATGGGGAAAGGACAGATCCTGGTATAACATTATGTCACCCCCCTCCCCCAGAAGCAGACCTACAGTGAATCATTGCTGATAGGCAGTTATGTCACCACCACTGCCGCAAAGCATGAAATCCATATTATTGGTCAATGAATAACTGCATGCTGTAGCGATTGGCTGATTACATTAATTACTCTAATATGTAATGAATGGGGAGAGCCTTGTTAAATGGAGAGAAATCATCTTTCATTACATGACAGTGAGAATAATTTAAACATGAATCAGTGATCGTGTGTCACTCTGTTCCATAACGACTGACACTGAATCAAGGGAATGTGAAGCATTATTGATAGCTCAACACGAAGCATTACTTCATTTTCTCTCATTTTGCTGCCTGGTTCAGCTGCACACATCCTGCAAGTGCAAATTACATCAAAACAATCAAGTGTCCTGTCCATAAAAATGACAAAATCCTTATAAAACTCCATGGTAAAACCAGCCCTGATACTGTCCTGAGGAGTCAGGCTGTGAGACTGACAGATTACAGGCTGATAGAACATCTAGACAGCAGGTGATTAGGTTACCAAGACAACACCAGCTTGCATGATAATGGCAAGTGTCACTCGAGAGATCAACAGAAAGAGAGACAAAGATACATCAGGGAGAGGGAGAAGGATTTAGCCTGAGTCTTTTTTTTTTTTGATTTACTGCCACCAAAAGCATCCTTCTCTTACCCGCCTCCCAGAGCAGGCAGGTGTGTGCCTTTTCGTGTGTGTGTGTGTGTGTGTGAACGGACACTACTGTAAGCTTGTTTTACAATAAAACACACTGATCTTCTGTTAGTGTTGGAAAGATATGAAATTACTTTTTTCACAAACCAAAGCAACAAAACAAAAAAAAACACAAAGCCAGTAGGAAAATGCTTATGCCAAACCGAAGTAGAGTCACATGCTCCACCTAGTGGTTCCTTTGGTGGTAATCCTATGACATGATCACTTTTTGGAAGATGATGTCATTCAAAACAAACCACCCAGAGTGGTGAGAAAGTTGCTCGGCAGGATTTTTATAAATCTGAGGCAAAAAAACAGCCACAACCCGTACAGTATATAGCACAAATCACATTGGCTGATAAGTCCAACATTTTACCATTTTGTTATTCTGTTTAGCAACTTGCATTCATGTGTATACTTTAGGCTTGTCTCCGCTTCAGTGTGTTGATAAATTGGTGGTCTTCTTCTGTCTTTTTGCAGTGTTTCTAAACTGTCCTTGCTCATATATTATGGCCTTTAATAGGGTTTGGTTTTACAGATCTGTGATTTATTGGAAAATGATATGTTGTTAAACTGCATACTTTCTACATCCAGTGGCTGGAGAAGATAAAATCACATTTGTGTGGCCAAAATCCTGAGCCTTTAAAATATTTTTATCAGAAGTTAAGAGAAGCTGCTATGACCTTTCTCTTGTTAGTAGACTGGAATTCTTTGTAGATAAATGGCTAGAAACAAAGAACGCTCTCAGTAGAGAAAGATTCAGTTATGAGAAGCATGATTTAGTACAGGTAAACATGCAACATACAGTATGCAGTGTCTGTGTGTAAGTTGGTTTCATGGTATCAGATGTGTACTTTATGTGGGCACTCAGCTTTTATTGCCCCAGATGGCATGTTTCTTCAGATCTAAGTGTGTGTGGGTGTCAGTTTAGTCTCTTTAAACTCATTTGTTGATATTTGTTCTTTCTAAAATAAGAAACTCTAAATCACCTCTTGGAGGGTAGAATTTTGTATTCACTATTTAAGACGTGACAAATTGAAGGTCATAGTTTTTGCCTGTTTGAGCAGGTTTTTATTGTGGGCTACTTGGAAGGAGGGCTCCAAAGGTTGACCAATGATCTTTGAACAAATACAGATTGAGTACTAAATCAAGCAATGCTACAATATGACATTATACTCTGTATGACTGAAAAAGAATCTCTCTACTCTATAAAAGTAGTGGTTGTGTACATTGTGATTTATCTCTTTAGTTCACCATGAAATGCCTAATGTACATTTGTGTTGCTTCAATTTCAGCTTGACCCTCAAGCTCTTCAAGGCAAAGACTGGCAGAGAACTGTTATTCCAATGAATGGGGTGAGCAGATCACATTCATTATAGTTTTATCAAAGTACAATTTCTACTTTTGTATTACTTTCCTTTGCTTTCTCCCTTAATGCTAAACAGTTGTCAAATTTGATAGTTACCTACTGTAGCAAAAATATTTTAGGCATCATGGTGCATTTCATTATTATAGTGGACCTTAGTTTAGAATAATATTTTGTTTCCGGGTTGAGATTCAGCAAGTGATTTCTAAGTGAAATCTACATCTGGTTTTGATATTTACAAATTTACACAAGATCATGAAAGCCTGTAGGAGATAGACTCTAGGCTTGTAGACTGGCTCCTCACTTTGTAAACCTGTTCTAAATGTAAGTCCTTTTTTTCATGTGTCAGATCGAGGTTAAACTCTCCATGAAGTTCACCAGCCGAGAGTTCAGCCTGAAGAGGATGCCCTCACAGAAACCCATGGGTGTGTTTGGAGTCAGGATCTCCACAGTGACCAAGTGAGCTGACATTTGAATACACCAAAGCCACCTAATAACAGAGTAATCAACTGTCCACCTGTATTGATGCGCAGTTTTCCTCAGGCATTGTGGCCATATTTCTCATTATTCCTTGCAACCCAAATTGCTGATGGCTGCATTTTTAATATACCTTTACTGTGCTTTGACTAAAAACACTGTTGAGGTTCTCAAAAACAACTGTTACATAAACAGGTTTACAGGGTGCTTTAATTTGACAGACACAATGACAATGCTAACATGCTGATGTTTAGCATGTATAAGGATTAGCATGTTTATTGTCTTGGTTTAGAGTGTTAGCATGATCAAATTCTAGTAGCTAATTGTACTTAAAATAAGCTGCTTTTGTTTTTCTACATTCAGGCGAGAGCGCTCCAAGGTCCCCTACATTGTCCGGCAATGCCTAGAGGAAATTGAAAGGAGGGGTATGGAAGAGGTGGGAATCTACCGAGTATCGGGAGTAGCCACTGATATTCAAGCCCTGAAAACAGCCTTTGACACTAGTGAGTAGAGCCCTCATCTATATATAGTATCTGATATATTTTTCAAAATATTTTGTCTCTGCTAATCAGATGATCATTATTGAACATGTAGCTTTGTGTATGAGTTTGATGTGAAATGATTAATCACACTTATCTACTTGTTAATTTATGAACTACAATTTGCAGGTTAGTGTGGGTATGTGCTAATAATCAATGTATCTTTTGTGGACTGGGTGTATCTCTATTGTGTTACTGACAGCTACAAAGCATGACGACTGCTTGCTTGTGCCAAGGTGTTTTCCTGTCCTGTCATCTTCCTTTGCCACCGTACAACCTCACATCTCAGTGTTCTCATCTCTGTCTTGCAGATAATAAAGACGTGTCAGTGATGATGAGTGAGATGGACGTCAATGCAATCGCAGGGACCTTGAAGCTATACTTCAGAGAGCTGCCAGAACCTCTTTTCACTGATGACCTCTACCCCAACTTTGCAGGGGGCATCAGTAAGCATGGGCTGTTGATGTCACCAACACATCACACAGTTAAATAATCAGTCAAGCAACCTAATTATTAGAGCTGTTGTTGACCATGCAGTAGCAGCTGCAACTTCTAAATGTGTACTAAGGGCTGCTCAAGAAAATGTCATTTTGCAGGCTGTAAAATCCTCTTGTTTTATTTCTGTGCAGCCCTGTCTGATAGCGTCGCCAAAGAGAGCTGCATGTTGAACTTACTGCTGTCACTGCCAGAACCCAACCTGGTCACTTTTCTTTTCCTTTTGGATCACCTGAAGAGGTATGGAAAACTAAAGGCACATGTGCCTGCACAGTATATAGATATGAATGTGCACAAATAGAAAAAAAACTACTCATGGATACATGCAGAAAAAAATCCAGATAGACTTTAATTTAATTTTGTTCATTTAATGTTTAAGTGGGAAATGTAAGGTTTGATATTTGTTGGTAGGGACAGTAGACAATAGGGTTGAAATGATTATTTACTAATTATTTAGTAGTGAAAACTATCCGTAACAGTGTTCCAGAGCCCAAGGTCAGGCTTTCACACAGTAGTTTTGTCAACGCCAAAACCGATTAAGTTTTAAATAAATTGATTCTATAATAAATAAGTAAATTTAAAATAAGAAAGGCAGCAGAGCCTCATATTGAGAAGCTGGAAGTAGCAGACTTTGGGTACTTTTGTTTAACAAACAGTTAATTGAAATAAAAACACTTTAATTTTCTATTCTGTGACAAATCAATTATTCCTTTAAGGAAACACTAATAAGTGCCAAAGGTGAAGAAGTTTATGAATATTCAGAAAGTGAAAATAACAAACATCCACTGTGATGTCATATTCATTATCCCCACAGTGTCAACACACAATAAGCCAGACATGATTTACTGTCAACAGAATGAGTCTGAATTGTCCTTAGAGTGGACAACTCTCCCTTTCTATCCCAGAAATGTTTTTTTACAGGAGTTAATACTTTTAGCACATGCACACTCAGTACGCACATCCATGACTGAGCATTAACATCACCTGCATGTGGTCTTGTCCTCTATCTGTGCCACTCATGGTTTTGTCTCTCTTCCTCTTCCCAGGGTGGCAGAGAAGGAGAGTGTCAACAAGATGTCCCTCCACAACCTGGCTACAGTGTTTGGGCCGACCTTGCTGAGGCCTGCTGAGAAGGACAGCAAGATCCCTGCTAACCCCACACAACCAATCAGCATGGGAGACAGCTGGTCCCTGGAAGTTATGGCACAGGTCGGGCACAAACTTCCTACTGAGAACTAAATTTTTTAATTTGAAAACGGGGCTCTCACCCTTTTCTGTTTTCTTGCAGGTCCAGGTGTTGCTGTATTTCCTGCAGCTGGAGACTATCCCTACCCCAGACAGTAAACGACAAAGCATCCTCTTCTCGACTGAAGTATAGAGCTAACATCAGCTCTGACACTTTGACCATGAAGGAATGTAAAAAGAGACAACCCTTGACCCAAAATGAGCCTGTAACAGTACTGACCGGTCCTATTCTGTTTGGCTCTCGCAGCTGATAAGGACGGTCTCTGGCGATTTCTGTCCTGCTTGAACACAAGAAGGTGATGTTGGGTCTCTGAAGATCAGAGAACGTGAGGTCTTCTGATACTGTACCTTCAGGGTTGTGGGTACATCTGCCATCTACACTTCTCCACCTTGGCCTGTGTTGGTTTTAACAGAGAACCTTTACAGCTGTGGATCATAAGTAAAGAAGCTGAAGAGATCAAAACATCAGAGTTTCCATGTACCTTTTTGTACATGCAATATTCTCTATCTGTGTTTATTTTGAACAGTCATAAAGTCAAGACTCTTGCAAAATGTGTTTCCATATCAAACGTTGCTTCATGTCCTGCTGAGGAAAATTCTGTCTTATATAATCTCAGAGCGTTGTTTCTGAGAATACGAGAGGAAGCATTCATGCTGTTTGGTGGAAGTTAAAGTGACCCCCCCCCAGAGCTACCATGTTACTGGCTTTTTCTTCCTTTGTGTCACAGAAGCCACATGAAGCAAACACCTGTACTGTATGTCCAAGTGTTTACAACATAAACAAACCCTGGCTGGAGTCAGAGACAAACGCTAACTTGATATTTAGTAATACACTGCAATCTGACTGCTGTCAGTTCATCCAAAAGCAAATTTTCTCTATTTGTGTTGTTTGTGTCTCAAGGTAGTCTTCAGCTTAAATACCCAGGAAGCAATATATTTTCTAACATAGGACTTGTCTGTGTTTTTTCTGAGGAAATGCCCTTCTTATTGTAACATACTGTGGTACATCTTGCCAAATTAATATGTTAACCATTTGTTTCTAGGAAAAGAGGAAGCAGTTCTATATACAGATACAGTATGTACATAATCCTAAAGTTGTAAATTTTTCTTTTTGTTTAGCAGTATAATCATTGTTGCTATTATTGTAATTTATTTCTGGGCCCTGGGGGTGATGTTGGGTTGTCTTTTTTATGTGTACCTTTTGGGTTTTATTAACTAAATGGTAGGCTTAAGCCTCAACTTCAAGTCTTGCAGTAAATCAACAGGATCTAGCTTTGTTCTTATAGAAACTATTCAGCTGATCTGTCCAGCCTATCAATTACTCATTTAGATATCAATATGAAGGTAACACACACATTGTACTTACATACTGTATGCTGTTGTGGAAAAGGCACAAGCTCTCGAACTGCTGGGCGCTCCTCAGCAGAGTGTCTCACATCCAGACTTTCACCACTCTAGTGTAGATGTTACACAGTGTCAAAATACAGCACACACACATGCACAGATATGACGCTGTCTCTATTTCTACCATTCAATCAGTGGTTGCAGAAGTGCACTCATGCAATGTTAAAACTACTGTATTACAATTCAAGTGACCTGAGTGCTCAGCATGTGGCAGCATGTCTGTTAGTTTTAATGAAAGGAATCTTATTTTAGTTGCTCTTGTTGTCTTTCTTTATTTCTCTCATGCACTCCAAATGTCCTTATAATTTTTGTCCCTTTAACATGAAGGTGTCCAACTCAGTTGCAAGTTAAAGAACACCTTTTTAGATATGCTGTTGATACTAAAATGGCATATTTCTAGGTTGAACCTTTGTTACCTTGATTTAACATGCAGGCATGTTTTCTTTTGTTCTTTATGTTCTTATTGTTGCTGTTTGACTGAGAAATGTGTGATTGACCAGCTGACTTGTTTACATCTGTAAAGGGCTTGTGTGTGGTTGTGTCCATGTTTAAGATATCACAGGAAGGCATATGAGACAAAATAATACCGCACAGTATAGATTTTAAAACACAAGCATCTTTAAACTTTGACACACTTTTTTTTTTTTTTTTTTTTTTATAAAAATCAACACTCCAAACTACAACA